GTGGGTGTGCCAGGATTTGCTATTCGTGCCCACCTCAACATTAATGCTATTTCTTCAGCTATGTCAGCAATTAACCATTTTAGCTATGAAGCATTTAGCCAAAGAAAGCGCTTGCTTACGCACATATATTATGCAAAATCATTTAGCCTTAGATTATTTGTTAGCAAAAGAAGGAGGTGTATGTGGGAAATTTAATCTTTCAAATTGTTGTATTGAAATTGATGACAGTGGTAATGTTGTTAGGGAAATCGCTGATAGAATGGTAAAAATTGCTCACGTTCCTGTCCAAACTTGGAACAGCTTTGATTTTCATGAAATGTTTGGTTCTTGGTTCCCCAAACTTCCTGGACTCCAAGCTATTGTAGCTTTAATTGAACTGATTGCTTTAGGCTGTATTGTAATACCCTGTGTTTTACCCATCTTTGTAAAAATCATGTCAAAAAGTTTATCTTTGTTAGCGGAAAAACGTGCAACAGCTCAAGTAATGGCTCTATGACAACGCTCTGATCCAGTACGATATCATCTTTTAACTATGGAAGCTGACCATGATGACATCAACAAAGGAGACAGACTGTCCCATCCTGAGTTATCAACTGCAGGAAAATTTACTACATTTAAAGCCAACCCATTTATCGAACTGACCAATGAATCAGAAGATAAAGATGACTTGACAAACTTTAGTCTGCATAGTACCAGCATGTATGAAATGCAACAAAAAAAACTTTTGGGTTTAAGCTTAAAAAACAAAAAAGGAGGAGATGTTGGAATATAGCATAAGTCACTCCATCTTGTAACCTTCAATATGCTTAATTCTACACTTCTTCATGCCTACGTGTTAGGCTGCAATCTGCAGCTGCAAACACGTAAGGACAGAGAACTAAGAAGCAAGTCAACAAAGCTGTCTACACAAGCTATAATATTATCACTTCCTGATAAGACCTTCCAGTGTGAACCACAATGGCAACTTTTCCTTGAACTGTTAGTTGTATAAGCCATGTAANCCCCGGCTCACCCCCCTGCTTGTCGCTTCTGCCTGCAATTTGCTTTGATGATTGCTAATAAAAGAGGTCCCCAGAGACTATTCTGGGCTGATCTCATCCCGAGGAAACCTGGTATGGTGTCTTCATATGACAACTCATGAATCAGCCCCCGGACGAGGTCTGAAACCAAGCCGGGAGACTCAGGTCCCGGTTTTCTACAGAATACATCTAAAATAAATACTGCACATCATTTTTTAATTTGGAAGGAAAGGATTGCTTTTGAAGGAAACTGAAGACTCAGTGTGCAACATCAAAAGTTATACAAAATGCGATCTACAGTATTAAATATCTGAATAATAAAACCAAGTTGCAGCTCTCAAAACTGGAGAGTGCTGCCAAGTTTACAAGAGGGACACAGAGATCTCTATCCTTGAAAATTGCTGTAGGTCACTTTCTGCCAAATTTTGGGCTCTTGTTTTTTTGCTCACTGCTAGTGTTAAAATCTCATGCCTGGAAAGTTTTTGCCTACCACATTTTGCATCAATTGGTGCAATATCCTTGTTGTGATTACAGTATAGGTACATAAATTCACAAAGGTAACTCTCAACTACTTATCAATATCCATGACTCAAAATCTATCCCCATTGGTGGGGAAAATGTACAGTATACGCTAGTCAAAATAAGTGGATGTGCATGAAACTCACTGTCAGGCAAAAAGTCTGGAACAAGAGCCAAATTTTGATACTGTTTGGGTAACGTATAAGTACTGTATCCTCTATCCCAGTGGTGGCGAACCTATGGCACGGGTGCCAGAGGCGGCACTCAGAACCCTCTCTGTGAGCATGATGCGCCGTCGCCCCAGTCCTAGGCCTTCAGCTGGGTTTTATAAAACCTTTTCGCTTTAGGCCTCCGCCGCCATGTGCCCCCCCCCCCAAAAAAGGTTCAATCAGTCAATTTCAATCAGTTTCAATTTCAATTTCAATCAGTCAACTTCTTGCAGGAAAAAAAAAGATCTTGCAAAGTTGGAATTGATTGATTGAACTTTTTAGTCCCACCCAGTCTGCCGTTACCACTGCAGCCACGCCCACCCAATGGGCCACGCCCACCCAATGGGCCACACCCACCCGGCACTCGACGATGCATAAGTGGGTTTTGGGTTGCAGTTTGGGCACTCAGTCTCTAAAAGGTTCGCCATCACTGCTCTATCCTTATCCCACTAACTTGGCATCTCCCTTGCGTTTAACTTCATCCCCTGAAGCATCTTGATCTAGACTAGAAAACAAGCAGCCTCATGTGCCTTACCAGAGGTTCACTGAGGACTACTCACAGAAGGAATATGGATTATAACTGGGAATTTTGCCAAGAGAAAGTGCTGTAATGCCGCATATGAGACCTTACGGAATTTGTCAAAAAAATATGTCTTACATATAATGCAAATTAGGACATTCATTTTGGTAAGTAGCATACATATGTTTATTCTGTCTGCCCCTTCAAAAAATGTCAGGGATTCTTTCACAACACCAAGATTTTTTTTAAAAAAGAGACTGTTACAATCTTTTCCCCAATGGGTAGAAAGAGTTTGGGGTTTGATAATGGGGCATACTAAATCAGGTCATTTTTCCCGGTTTGAAGATTTCTTGCCCGACTTACAACAAAGTCACCCTTCTGTAATAAAAGAACCTATTAATGCCCCTCTCTCAGAGGAAGCACCCATGCAAGTGTCCTTAATACTCATCTTGAACTAATGTATTTTCTTCCCAATTTATTTGCAGGCTTAATTTTGTTCCTTACATTTGCTGCAGGTATGTACTGTACAATTATCTGAAAAAAGAGCAAGGTTGCTCTCATCACTTGCAGGCAAACAGGAACTCATATCAACGTGTCATTCTCACTTATACCTTTCTTGGTACCAGCATTTTTTCAAGCTACATTCTAAAAAGTATTACAGTCCTAGATAAATCTCTTTAACACTACTGAATCTTTCCAGCATCTAAAGTGCTAATATAAATCACAGTGAACCTACTACAAAAGCATAAAAGAACAAAATATACAATATGAATATAAAAGACCTAGAAATAATAGAGGACCAACACTGTAGAGGTTTCTGAATGCTTAACATAGGAAGAATGGCACTATCAGAAATAATTTCTCAGCACAATCTACAAATATTGTGCAGAACATTAATAAAGCTTATCAGCATATTGAACAATTGAGCTCCTGGGAAAGTTTAAATCTCATTTAATTTGAAGGGATGAATTATGAGATGCTTCTAACTCAGGATGCACAAACAAATCAGCACATCAACAAAAAACTTTGTATGATTTTTTTTTCCCTTTAGAAAGTTACTGTACTATGATAAGTAAGGTTTCTGCTTCGAAGATCTGGCCTAGAATCAAAATGTATTTCTCATTCAGCAGCTCACATAAGTCCCAGCATATTTTGCTTGGTTATAAAGGAAAGCAGATCCAGGAAACATATGATAAAAACAAATTACATTCTTCCCTAGATTTCTGAGCAAGCTATTAACCACGATGCTATCTTTGCTCAGTTGGGAGAGATTCACAGATGTTCTACTCCCTCCTAAGGTCTAAGGAAGGCACCCTATTCGCAGTTCATGACTCCCAGGCAGGGTTGCCAATGCTGGGTTTTTAAATCCAGATCTGAGTTTTTCTATTCGGGTTTCTAGTTTGTTTTTTTTTACTTTAAAATGTAAGTTGCTCTATACAGTACCTACATTATATTGTACGTATTAAATAGGTAAAAATAATTTAGTTCAAAACTGATTGTGGAATTTTTAAAATCTGGGTCTTTTGTGTAGAACCTAGGTTTGGTTGAACGCGAAATCTTGATTTATTTTTTTTTCTTAAGAAAACCCAGCTGGCGACCGTGTCCCGAAGCTCCAGATTCTCCACCAAGATTTCCACCCCTCCCCGAAGACTCGAGTCAACCCGGAAGAGCCCGAGGCGTGTGCTGTTTATTTCCTAAACTGCAACCAACGAAGCCCCCCTCCTTCCTCGGCTCTTTTCCCTTTATACGCAAGAGCCAGACGCTCCCGTTATTCCTCCACTTACCTTCGTGACAAGGTAGGAGAAAAGAAAGCCAACCTTTTCCTTCTGTAGGAAGCCGCCGAAGAGAAACGGGGGGAGGGCTGCCAGTCCTTCTCAAGACACCCCTCCCCGGCTGCTTGCAGGAAAGAAAATCGTCGGAACCAGCTTAGCGCAGAGCGCCCCAAAAGCAGGGAACAGCTTCGGGAGATGTGGAGGGAAGAAGGCGGGGGCTCTTTCGGCGCACCCTTTTAAACGAGGAAACGGAGCCCCGCCCGGCCGCCCCTCACGCCTCACCTCACCTGTTGCAGTTTTTGCATACGCTGGCTTTGCCCAGCTGCCCCGGAGCTAGCAGGAAGCGGAGAAGCAAAGGAACTGACCCACCACGAGCGCATGCGCCGCGGGCAACGCGTGAGATTTATGATGCTGCCGTCTTTTCTTCTTGCGCGTCTTTCTGCATCCGCTCTTCTGATTCGCTATAGCGGGAAAGACGAAGTAGAAGAAGCTAGTTTCGTGCTTTCCTTAGTTTTCCTGATCCTTTTTTTAAAAGGCAAAGTAGGTCGTCATTACGACTAGTAAATCTGGGCTGCAATGTTGCGGACAGTGCCAGCTGGCCAAAAAAGATGAAGCTTTTGTTGTCTTGTTACAATACTGCCATCTAGCGGTTGCTTGGGGCTTTGCAGCCCAGATCTGGTAGCACTCCCAACTGAGAGCTTTCTAGAGGCTGCCAATTGCACATACCCATGCACCCTTTGCAATCTACATGACAACTTCTGCACACCACCACACATCCCTCATGTCCTCCTTAACTTCCGTAGCATCCTCTTGTGCACACTTGGTCAGGGAGTCCTTGAGAGCTCCATGTTGGGAAGGTGCATGAGAGTGCAAAGGGATACATGAGAGGGGCTACACAGGTTTGGAAGGGTGGATGGGAGTTCATGAGAGGAGCTGTTCAGGTCAAGGAGATTGCACAAGGGTGTGGCTCTGGTTAGGGAGGGTGTGTGGGGGTGAGGATGCCTGAGAGTCACAACATGGGTTGGGGAGGATGTACAAGTGTTATGGAAGGGAATCTATCTATCTATCTATCTATCTATCTATCTATCTATCTATCTATCTATCTATCTATCTATCTATCTATCTATCTATCTATCTATCTATCTATCTAATCTATCTATCATCTATCATCTATCTATCTATCCACAATAGTCCTGAAAATGTGAGTCTCGGATATATTAAAACTGAGCTTTCGTCAGCACCTGCTGACATTGTCAGAGTTTAAGCCAGGATTGGAGAACAACGTTCTTATAGTCTCTGTGAAGCCAGTAGTTTAGCTAATGAGCGTGTTACAGGTCTGTTCAGTCCCCGCCCTCCCGTAATCAGTTGCATTGTTTCCGTCGGGTTCACTGATGTCTGTTTGAGTTTTGGCGCTCTGCCTCTCTCCACTTGCCCTGCCCGCTGGGAGCATTCATCCTGCAGCATGCAATCATCTCGCTGCTTGTCTGACACACACACACACATATATACATACACCATTGTTTCTTGTCCTGCCTTCTGGTGCTTTGGTGAATAATGTGATCCCCTCTTCTTTGTGGCAGCCCCTTAGATACCGGAATACTGCTATCATGTCTCCCCTATTTCTTTTTTTCTTTAGACTAGCCAAACCCAACTCCTGCAGCTGTTCTTCGTATGTTTTAGTCTCCAGGCCTTTGGTCATTTTAGTTGCTCTTCTCTGAACTTTTTCCAAGGTCTCAACATCTTTTTTGTAGTATGGTGATGAAAATTGGCTGCAGTATTCCAAGTGTGGTCTTACTAGGGTTTTATAAAGTGGTACTAATACTGTGATTTTGATTCTATGCCTGTTTATACAACCCAGGATTGTGATTTTGATTCTATGCCTGTTTATACAACCCAGGATTGTATTAGCTTTTTTGGTTGCTGCTGCACACTGCTGGTTCATGGTTAAGTGATCGTCCACTAGGATTCCAAGATCCCTCTCACAGTTACTGTTTTTAAGCCAGGTCTTGCCCAATTTGTACTTGTAGCTTTGATTTTTCCTACCTAAATGTAAAACTTTGCTTTTTTCCATATTGAAACTCATTTTGTTGGATAAGGCCCATTGTTCAAGTTTGTCAAGATCTTTTTGGATCCTGACTTTGTCTTCTGCGGTGTTGGCTACTCCTGCCAGTTTGGTGTCATCTGCAAATTTGATGAGTTCCCCTTCAATTCCCTCATCTAAGTCATTGATGAAGATATTGAAGAGTACTGGGCCTAAGATGGAACCTTGTGGTACCTCACTGCTTACTTCTCTCCATGTCGATGTAGTGCCGTTGAGGACTACTTGTTGAGTACGGTTTGCCAGCCAATATAGATCCATCTGGTGGTGATATTGTCTATTCCACCTTTTTCTAGCTTACCAAGGAGTAGGTTGTGGTCTACTTTATCAAATGCCTTACTGAAGTCTAAGTATACTACATCCACAGTATTTTGCTGCTCTATTAGTTTAGTCACTTTGTCGAAGAATGAAATAAGATTCGTTTGGCATGATCTGTATTGATGTTAAACTGATTGGTCTGTAGTTTCCTGGGTCCGTTTTTTTCCCTTTCTTGAAGATGGGAACCACATCAGCCCTTTTCCAATCCTTAGGTATTTCCCTGGTGCTCCAGGATTTTTGAAAGATGTGGTGCAATGGTTCTGAGATAACATCTGCCAGCTCCTTCAGAACTCTGGGATGTAATCTTTCAGGCCCCGGTGATTTATACTCGTCAAGGTTGGATAGGTGTTCCCTTACTATTTTCTTGCTCGTTTTAATTTTTGTTTCTAATTTGTCTTTTGCAGTGGTTTTTTTGGGTGTGTTGGGCTATATTTTCTTTTTGTGTGAAGACTGATGCAAAATATCAGTTAAGCAGCTCTGCTTTCTCCCTGTTGCCTGTTATTTCCTTGCTATCTTATCTCTTTAGTGAACTTATAGTTTCCTTGAGTTTTTTCTTGTTGTTAATATGTTGGAAGAAACTTTTTTTATTGTCCTTGATTTCTGTTGCAAGTCTTTGTTCGTTCTGAGCCTTTGCTTTCCTGACATCATCTTTACATGTTCTGGCTGTCTGCTGATAATTGGCCTTAAGTTATGTGCCCCACTTTCCATTTTTTGTATTTGTCCTTTTTGTTTTTTAGTTCGTCAGAGAGATCTTTGTGTGGCCATGCTGGTTTCTTCTTGAATTTCTTGTTTTTCTTTTTCAGTGGTATTGTGCTGATCGCATTTTTCAGAGTTTCACACGCTTCTTGGGTTGTTTTCCCCTTTAGGATTTTCATCCATGGGATCTTTTCTAGATTCTCTCTGAGTTTGTTAAAGTCAGCTCTTTTGAAGTTCAAGACACTGGTTGGATTGTTTTCTGTTGCTAGTGTTTGCATTATATAAAATTCCAGTATGATGTGGCGAAGGTTGTTGAGAGTGTGGTTGCGCAGCAGTTTGTGGCGAAGGTTGTTGAGAGTGTGGTTGCGCAGCAGTTCCCTCGACACCTGGAGGAAACAGTCTATCTGGACCCGCTCCAGTCGGGCTTCAGGCCGGGATACAGCACGGAAACGGCATTGGTCACGTTGGTAAATGATCTCTGGAGGGCCCGGGACAGGGGCTATTCCTCTGTCCTTGTTCTTTTGGACCTCTCAG